CTCTTAGTAAGCGATAAGGCAGAAACATACTACTTATATAGCAGTATTACTTAATAAATAGACTTTTTATAAATATCTAAAAAATCCCTAAATTAAACTAAGTTCTACCATTCTACTGTATATTACTCTTTCTAACTATTTTCTAGGTCTCTAAGTAAGTAAGAAGATAGAAATATACTACTTACCTTTAAGTATTACTTTAGTAATATACCTTCCTCTAGTATCTAAAATATCCCTAAATAAGGCTAATCTCTACTTTTCTATTAGATTTTAGTCCTTCTACCTTTTATATAGGCCCTAAAGCATATATTTAGTTATAAAAATACCCGTTGCCTAGTAGTACTACTTAAGTAGTAGGCCTTTCTCTAATATCTAAAAGACCCTAATATAGACTAAGTATACCTCTCTTAATAGTTTATTAATATTTATACTATCTCTCTAGGCTATAAAGTAAGCGATGATATAGAAAAATACTACTTACCTTATAGTATTACTTTCTAGAATAGACGTTCCCTAATACCTAGAAATAGTAAATTAATCGTATCTATGAGAGTAGTTTATTAGGATTCCTACTATAAATATAGGTCCTTAAGTAGAGACTTAGATCTTAAGTTACTATTTATCTAATATTATTATATTAGGAATAGACTTTTCTATAACATCTTCTAAACTCTAGAATAGCCTCTATATCTCTACTATATTACTTTTTAGCTTACTAACTCTCTAAATACCTATATCTTAGCTCCATTTTATCTAAATATACTACTTACCTAATCGTATTACTTAAGGAAAAATTTAGTTTCTTCCTAAATCTAGGCCTAGTAATAAAGACTTTATATCCGTTTTTAAGTAGTATATTAGTTATTAATTATCTTATTCTAAGGTACTAGCTCTAATATAGCTAATAAATTACTACTTACCCTATAATATAACTTGAGAAATATAGTCTTCTTCTAAAAGCTCTAGATAAGACTTGTTTCTTAATCTTAGTAGTATTTAATTTATTTCCCATATTTCTCTAAGGTACTACCTCTAATCTAGCTAATAAATTACTACTTACTCTATAGCTCTACTTTATAAGTTTGTTTCTTTATTATAAGTTTAAAAACTCTAGAACAGACTTACTTCTTTATTTAAGTAGTATTTTAGTTACTTTCTATTTCTTCCTTATATATTACCTCCAATATAGCTTATAAATTAACACTTATTCTATAGTATTACTTTAAAGATAAGGATTTCTTCTTAAATCTAAAGAACTCTAATTAAGACCTGTCTCTCTATTTAAATAGTATTTTATTTATCTATTATCTTCTTATAAGGTAGTATCTCTAATTTACTACTTTATAGTACAACTTTAGAGATCTAGTTTCCTCTTAAATCTAAGAACGCTAATAAAGACTTTATATCTCTATTTAAGTAGTATTTTAGTTATTTACTATCTTTCTCTAAGATATAACCTCTAATATAGCTAGCAAATTACTCTTTACTCTATAATATTACTTTAGAAATAAGATCTTCTTCTTAAATCTAGATAACTTTAAAGGAGACTTATTCGTCTACTCTAGTAGTATTTAAGTAATTTACTATCTTTCCCTAAGCTATAAGCTCTAGAATAGCTAATAAACTACTACTTACCCTATAGTTTTACTTTAGAAATAAGGTCTTCTTCTTAAATATAAAAACTCTAATTAAGGCCTTTAATCTCTATTTAGTTAGTATACTAGTTATTAATTATTCTCTTCTAAGGTATTACTTTTAGTTTAGCTAGTAAACTACTACTTACTCTATAGTATTGCTTTATAAATTTAGTTTCTCCTTTAAAAGTTCAAAACTCTATATAAGATTTATCTCTCTATTGGATAGTACTTTATTTATCTTCTATCTTCTTATAAGTTATTAACTTTAGTTTTATTTAAAAGCTACTACTTATTCTCTAGTCTTACCTTAAAAATAAGGTCTTCTTCTAAAATCTAAAGAACTCTAGATAAGACTTATACCTCTATTTAAATAGTATTTTATTAATTTACTATCTTCTTCTAAGGTATTACCTTTAGTATACTAAATAAATTACTACTTCCTCTCTACTATTACCTCAGAAATAAGGTCTTCTTTTAAAATCTTTAAATCTCTAAATAAGACTTTCTCCCTCTATTTCCCTAGTATTATATATAGGTATTAATTATGTCCCTATAAGATATTACCTTAAATCTAGCTAATAAGTTACTACTTACTTTATAGTATAACTTAATAAATTAAGTTCCTTCTAAAATCTTAGAAATACTAATAAAGACTTATTTCTCTATCTAAGTAGTGTTTTAGTAAATAATTATCTTCTTCTAAGGTAGTATCTCTAACATAGCTAATAACCTACTACTTACTTTATAGTATAACTTTAGAAATTTACTTTCTTCTTAAATCTAAAAAGGTTAATAAAGACTTTATATCTCTCTAAGTAGTATTTTAGTTATTTACTATCTTCTTTTAAGGTATTACCTTTAATCTAGTAAACAGATTACTACTTATCCTATAGTATTACTCTAGAAATAAGAACTTTTTTTAAAACTAGAAAACTCTAAATATAACTTATTTCTCTATCTAAGTAGTATTTTAATTATTAATTCTACTCTTCTAAGGTAGTATCTCTAATATAGCTAGTAAATTACTACTTACTCTATAGTTCTACTTTATAAATTTAGTCTCTTTTTCTAAAGTTTAAAAAGCTCTAGATAAGACTAACTTCTCTATTTAAGTAGAGTTTTAGTTATATATTACTTAGTCTTTAGGATTACTATCGAGATAAGAATTTCTTTTAGAATTAAAAAACTCTAAATATAACTTATATCTCTATTTAAATAGTATTTTAGTTCCTTACTATCTTTTCCTAATATATTATATCTAATATAGCTAATTACCTACTACTTACTCTCTTATATTACTTTAGAAATAAGATTTTCTTCTTATATTTAAAAACTCTAAGTAAGACCTTTGATCTCTATATAAGTAGTATTTTAATTATCCTTTATTTTCCTTTAAGGTATTACTTCTAGTATAGCTAATAAATTACTACTTACCTTATAGTATTACTCTAGATATAAGATCTTTTACTTAAATCTAAATAACTTTAAAGAAGACTTATCTCTCTATTTAAGTAGTATTTTATTTCTTTTCGATCTTCTTTTAAGGTATAACCTCTAATATAGCTAATAAACTACTACTTACTCTATAGTATAACTTTAGAAATTCAGTTTCTTCTTTAATCTAAAAACGCTAATAAAGGCTTTATATCTCTTTTTAAGTAGTAATTTTCTTACTTACTATCTTCTTTTAAGCTATTACCTTTAATTTAGCTAATAAATTACTACATCCCTTATAGTATTACTTTAGAAATAAGGTCTTCTTCTTAGAATTTAAAACTCTAAATAAGACGTTTTATCTTTACTTAGTTAGTATTTTAGTTATAAATTCTACTCTCCTAAGGTATTGCCTCTAATATAGCGAGTATATTACTACTTACTCTATAGTATTACTCTATAAATTTAGTTTCTTCTAAAGTTTAGAAACTATAGACAAGACTTACTTCTCTATTGAAGTAGTATTTTAGTTATTTACTATTCTCTTCTAAGGTATTGCCTCTAATCTAGCTAATAAAGTACTACTTACTTTATAGAATAACTTTAAAAATAAAAGTTTTTTCTAAAATCCTTAGAGTACTATTAAAAACTTAGTCTTTCTATCTAAGTAGTATTGTAGCTACTAACTATCCTTCTTTCAAGAAGTACCCCAACCTAGCTAGTAAACTACTACTTAGTCTATAGTATTGCTCTAGAAATTAAGTTTTGTTTGAAATCTCTTAAACGCTAATAAAAACTCATTATCTCTATCTAAGTAGTACCTTAGCTACTAACTATCTTCTTCTAAAGGAATACCTCTAATCTAGCTAATAAACTACTACTTAGTCTATACTATTACTCTAGAAATTAAGTCTTTCCTTAAAACCTAAAAACGCTAATTAAGACTTAGAATTTCTATTTAAGTAGTATCTTAGTTATTGAATATCTTCTTCTAAAGTAATACCTCTAACCTAGCTAATAAACTACTACTTATCCTATAGTACTACTTTAGAAACAATTTCTTCTTCTAAAATCTAAAAACTTCTAGATAATACTTATCTCTCTATATTAATAGTACTTTATCTATTCCCTAATTCTAAGATTATACTTAGAATATAGCTAGTATAATACTACTTACTTTATAGTATAGCTTTAGCAGCTAATATTCTTTCTAAATTTTAAAAATCTAAATAAGACTTACTTTCTTATCTAGGTAATATAAAAGTTCTTTATTTTCTTATTCTAACGCTCTACTTAGAACCTAGCTTATTAAATATCCTTTGCTCTACTTAGTAGCGTACGTATCCTACCTACCCTCTCTAGATATACGCGTATCTACGCTAATCTCGGCCCCTAAGATACGCCTTTAGCGTATCTAGGAGCGTCCGTACTCTCTATTACTAGTAGTATCGCTTATAAAGTATTGTACTAGTCGTACTACGGTATAAACATAGTTTGTAAATCAGCGTGCCTAGTATTAGACGCGCTATAAAGAGTTCCTTCTACGACTCTATAATATATCTAAACAAATACAGAAGATAGGTACAGAGGAGAAGTTACGAAGCGCGCCTTTTACTAACAGGTTTTTGTCTCAAGCACGACAGGTCCAAAGTTCGCGCCCTACATATGTCACCTAGTATAGTAACACCCGTCCGAAGTATACTTAGCAAGTGTTTTGGTAAGCACTATGCACTATGTTCAGCGTCAGATACTCACAATTCCTGCTGGTGCCAGACACAGGTGACAGCCTAAAGCAAGCTTCACGGCTGTGTGCTACTTTTGGTGTCTATATCCTTGTAATTGCAACCGACCACCTTCTATCTCCCCCCATTTCTCCCTCCCCCTCTCTCTGTCTCAAACAATCAGGCAATCTGCCGGCCAGCGATCAGTATGAGGCGAATGAGGAGCATCCGTGACCAAGTCAAAGCTCAGCTCAAGCGAGTGGAGAACAAGCTACGTAGAAAGCCGGTTGTAACATCCGAGCAAAAGCTCAACGCCCGAATCGGGACCATGACTATGCAAGCACAGGAGCTGCATGACGAATGCCACCGCCTGCGAGGCAAAGCAACAGGATTTACGACCCGCGCAGAGACTACCCATGCACCGGAGGTGCCGCCGCCCGAGAGAGAGCCTCTCTTCGACCGCAATAGAGAAAAAGCGCCTCCGACCCAGTACGACACTCAACTTCGTGATTACGGAACTCTGGTGGCAGAATGGCACGCGTTCGGAAAGGAGCTCAAGGCTTTTGATAAAAGGCTGGATAAATACGTTGATACAGTTGAGGCGATGAAAAAAGACCATTTGGATCCTGGAAAGCCTATGGGCAAGACCGAGCATGACTTTGACGGCCTTAACAACGCTATCTTCAACTTGAAGGAGCAGAGGACGGAATTGGGTAATGCTGTCAGCGAGGTGCCGCTACCGGGTGCGGAGAAGTGATATGGCATGCATATGGGGTCTTGATCTTCGTGGTGGCTCGACCGCCTTCTTTGGGTTCGATGTAGGTAGCGTTGTAGCTGCTTTATAGCTGGGCGGAATCTCTGCTTGCTGAGTGTACTGATCCACAGTCGATCCTCCGACGGAGCGATGGAGTAGTGGGGCCCAGCCGTGGTCATTCGTCCTCCCGACGCTTCGACCGTAGACCGGTGTGAGACGAGGCACTTTCTTGAGGATCATTCCATGGCCAAAGACAGCGTAGAATGCATGCGGTGAAGTAGAAGTCGCTCAGCGGCATCGTGTGATAGATTTCGCACGTGATTAAGGGTCTGCGAAGGAGCACGGCCTCTCAGTCCAGCCTGAAAGGGAGAATAAGGTAGTGCCCAGCGCAGCACCAGTCGAACGTAGGCGCAAGATACCGTACCTGCCAGAGAGCATGTTGGCACTCATTTGGTCCAGGTCGACGTACGTCAACGGCGAGGTCGGGGGATTGCACCCGCAGCTTCTCCCGCTTTGTGGTATACATGAGGGAAGACATGTCCTTCACGGGGATGGTTCACTAAGATTGGGGAGGATGTTGATGGCGAGATGGTAATGTCTGGTCTGATCCTTGCCGCGCGCACTGAGCACTACCACGTTCCTTGGCGTTACGTTCTCAACAACACCTCCACTGGCTTCCGGTTCATCCTTCTTCACCTCTTTCCGTCCGACTCAGACATGTTGATTGGGGAAGACGCCTTCCTCCCGGCGGCGTCAGTAGAAGCAGAAAATCCAGAGCTAGCTGCTCGTGCTGTACGAAAGAACGCCGGACTTTATCCGGATTGCATGATGGCTCTGGCGAATGAGCCACTATTCCGTTCACCATACATTCGGAACGTCGCTGTGTCGCATGATTATGCGCCAGTCTGGCCGCCTGTCTCTACCGATGGGCATAGTCTTACGAGTACACGACCGCTTCGGTACTTGTTGCGATAAGGCGTGATTGATGTCGCCATGGCCCTGACCCACACAAGCTTGTCGCGTATATCAAGGTGCCGGCATCCTTCAGCCTGTTCCGTCCTGGTCAAGCAAACACTACACCCAGAGCTCCATCTCCAGAATGCCAACAGAGTTCATCAGTCTCGCGTTTCCAAACGCTTCCACAGAGTTGCAGCCTATCCCAGGAGCTGGCGTTGACCCCGACTTTCTGGCCAGATATGCCCGCAACCTGGACGATTATGACTTCAACTACACTCTGCAGCCATATGACTCTGGTGGATTCGATCCATTCACAACGGGAGCTACCATTGCGGCGCACACCAAGAATCTGAAAATCATCATCGCTCTGCGTCCAAACACCCTGTATCCAACGGTAGCTGCCAAAGCTCTCGCAACTTTGGACCAACTCAGCAAGGGTCGAGCAGTAGTGCATTTTATCGCGGGAGGAAGTGATGCCGAGCAAGCGAAAGAGGGAGACTTCCTTGGCAAAGCGGCTCGCTACGAACGCCTAGAGGAGTACATTCGCATCCTCCGCAGGGCATGGGAGTCGCCCACACCTTTCGACTGGGAGGGCAAACACTACCAATTCAAGCAGTTCAGCAACCGCGTCCGACCTGTTCATGGCACAATCCCCGTTTCGGTCGGCGGATCCTCCGACGAAGCCTACCGCGTGGGAGGCTCATTGGCAGACATCTTCGGCTTGTGGGGTGAACCTCTGAAAGAGACCAAGCAGCAGATAGACCGCATCTTCGCCGAAGCAGAGAAAGCTGGACGCAAGGACAAGCCCAGAATCTGGGTGACGTTCCGTCCAATAACTGCTCCCACTGAAGAGCTCGCATGGGACAAGGCTCACCGAACCCTGGATCTTCTGAAGAACAATACCGCTCAGGGAATTGGTAAGTCTCTACCAAACGCCCCTCCGCCGCAGAACGCCGGCTCTCAGCGGCTGTTGGACATCGCTTCCCGCGGGGAAGTGCAGGACCGAGCTCTTTGGTACCCGACTGTCACGGCGACGAATGCCAGAGGCGCTTCGACCGCGCTCGTTGGGTCTTACCAGACTATTGCCGATTCGATCTTGGACTATGTGAACTTGGGTTGCGACCTGATTTCGATCCGTGGATATGACAACTTGAACGATATGATTGACTACGGGAGATATGTGTTGCCCAAGGTAAGGGAAGTCTTGAGGGAGAAGGAGGTTGGTGGCCTTGACGAGAAAACGAAGGTCGATGGGGAGGTTACTCAGGTCACGGATGGTTAGGTAAATACCATCGCGCAGTTTCAGGCTATCAAGAACTTTCCAACAGTGATCTAAGTACATGTCGCTTCCCCAGGGTGGAGCGGCTGGGCTGGAAGTCTACTTTTGGCTCTCAGCAACCTTCTTCTGCTTCTCATCCAAGCACTTCTTGACTGCCGGTCTTTCAATCAACCTCTGATGCCAAGCGTAACAAGTTGGGTACTTCTCCTTCCACTCCTTGTCAAAGTCTTCGCCGACGATAAAGCCCGTCATCGCGTTCCAAGGCACAAACATCAAGTCGGCATAGGTAGCCTTATCTCCGGGGACAAGGTACTGCTGGCCAGTCTTGGAGAGGTGCAGGTCGATGACACCGAGGACACGGCGGATCTCGTTACCATAACGCTCGATGGCACTGGTCATGTTCTTCTCGTGGTGGAAGTGCGTGAACCAGGCCTTTTGGCCAAAATAAGGACCCTGGCCGCTCATTTGAAATTGCGCCCACTGATCTTGGTAATACTTCTGAGGAGAGCTGGTGTAGTGGAGCTTGCCCTGCTTGTCGTACGTCTGAGAATAATGTAAGCAAGATGTCCTCTTCTCCGCAGGCACGAGATGCTCACGTCGATCAAGTAATTAATGATTGCGCCCGACTCCCACAAGATGATGCCTGTGTTTGGATCCTCGATGGCTGGAGTTCTGCCATTGGGGTTGACACTGACGAATGGCTCTTGCTTAAGAACAGCCATATCCATGTACTCGGTCTCATATGGAATGCCGAGCTCTTCGAAGATGATGGCTACCTTCCATGGGTTAGGGCCCAAGACGTGGCCGTAGAGCTTGATTGGTTTTGCCATGTTGCTGCGTTGTTCAAGCACAATGTCTCTGTTGCAGGTGAGGTTGATATAACGGCCAAGGTTAACAAGCATGGACCTAGCCTTATATGCTTGAGAGCAGCCTCACTCCACGAGAGGGTCCGCTCTGGATTCTGCGACTGCATCATAGCTGGGCCATGGTACCGCGGAGGAGTTGACGGCCTTTGATAGGTCTCGGACGGGGCAATGGAAACTCTATCGGGTAGCTTTCAATGCAAGGTTGGATCATAGCCTCTGGAATGGTCTGCATCTCTTATCACTCGTCTTTCGGCTCCATCGTTACCGAAGCAAGAGAAACACCCGACACTGGAGCGCGACTGATGCATCAGACAATCGATGAAGAAATCAGTGGATGAGGGGGTGAAGATGGAGTTCAAAGTCAAGATCATGGAGCCAATCGTAATTTGACGTGCAGCCATCAAAATTTGACGAAAGCAGAACTTTCAGGCGCTGGCGACATGTTCTTCCTCTGAAGCCGACTGCACATCACCATTATCAGATTCCGATGTACAGCTCGATGCCTTAAGGTCTATGGAATCAGATCATCCTTATTCCCAGGTATCTGGAAGCATGATCATGGTAACAGGATGGTGGGCCGGATGGACAAGGCCACCATCAGTCCGGCGGCGATACCTGCACTACTATCCAGTCCGACCTTGTTAGGTGGACACAGGAGGGAGTCCGATGATAGGATGTCAGTACGCGATCTCTGCTGTCACGCTCGAAGAACGTTCACTAAACCGACCCGATGAAGCCTCACATCTGCCTCACAAAGCGGACGAGGACGCCGACACCGGCCGTTGCTCCCCGGTAGCAGTCGACGCAGTATAATATCATCACAGTGGTAAAACCCTGCGACACCACAGTTGGTCAACAGGAAGCCGCCGTAGGAGAGCCGCAGTCGATATTCCGGTGGTGTCTGCTGTCCAGCATTACGCTTGTACAAGTGGCGTCGCTTGCTGTTCACCCACCAGTCGCTCGCATATCCGCTTATCTGCTCTCCGATTCCAGGCTCGATAAGGACGGCTTATGAATTGGAGGCCCAGCAATTGCGTGTTGAAAAGAATTTTCTCCCCGAAGAGCTGCGGCACCTCCACTGTGACCATGACGCTGTCAACAAGGAAGGCCATAGCATACAATACTGTATCAACGAGCAGTGCCGGCCGCACCGCGAGTGTGAGCCATTACACAAAGTCGAGTCAGGCGAGCGGCTTTGGGATGATGCGATGGAAGGTCAAGTGTTTCTGTCGGAAGCTTATACCAAAAGTCGGGGTCCAGTGCGAAGGTAGCCAGTTTCTGGGCCGGAGAAGAGGTACAAGACGAACTGGACTCGGTTTGTGATCGTGAGGATGTATTAGCTCCAACGTTATGCCACTCGATGGACAATGAAGCGCATGAGAAAGCGCGCAGCAGGCACGTCGAGAGTGACCAGAAGCGCCTCCACACCCATATATTGTGCACGTTCCTGCTTTAAGGAACACTCCGCAGTCACCGCGCTCCAGATTGCTGCTGCTTGATAGATGGAAAAGGCGGCGATGGCTCGACAGAGTGCCATTATGGCATGAATAGGACTGTTGACGCAGTCGATGTGTCCGACCAGGCTGCAGATGAGCGAAATCAAGAAGATGGGTTGCCGGCCGAAGCGATCGCTCAGACTTCGCCAAAATAGAGGAGCGACTCCCGATATGCAAACACGAGCGAGGTTTGATTTGTCGGTAGTCGAGACATCTCGGCTTAACGCGTTAATGGCACGACTTCTCAGCATACAAGTTACTTACATCTAAAGAACGATTCTAGGCGCCCCTAATGGAACGCTACTGAAGTTTGCCGGAGAAAGTAACGAATGGCTAGAGCGTTATAGAAAGTCCGTCTCACGAATACATCTTCTTAGGTTAAGACAGTCTGGCTACGAGGTTGTCTCCCAGACCACCGATACTGTCTTCGAATTCTTGGAAGCTTTTGGGGCTCCAGTGTGCATGTTTGTGCACCGTGTCTGCAACATTTCCCGGGAACGCAATGCAGAGAACGTCAGCCTGATCGTGCCCGTTGTTGCCGGTAATGCCATCGCCAAAGCATGCTGTCGCGAGAGAAATTGAGGCTTCTCCCACAAGACGCGGCCCATCGTCACCATTCTGGTTGCCTCAGACGCCGTAGAACTATGAGATGGTTAGGTGAGACTCCCGATCGCGAGGTATTGACCCACCATGTGGTTGTTGCAGATGACAGCCATGACAATCAAGGGCTTGACACCGTAGTCTTGTGGGTTGAAAGGTGGATATGGTGTGCATTTTCCACTGTCCGCCGAGTTGTCAAGGACCACGTAGGGATTATAGTTGGCGTTCAGGTCGCTGACGCACTTTACTAGAATCTGGGAATACTGTTGCACCAAGCTCTTCAACGGGGTCGTAAACTGAGTGTCAGCCGAATTACCGCAGCGGCCATCATCTTGGTCGGACTGGTCGCCATCGCAATCGATGTCCATATTCGCAAGGCGCTAGTCGTTGCCATGGATGTAGATTGCCCCTGACTGTTTGTTCTGACAGTAGGCGAAGGCTGATTGAAATGCACATATTAGCAAGGGATAGATAGACGAGTAGGCGGAACTACGCACTATTCGATCCACCGCAGCTGCACGGCCCGTCATAGCTGTCGCATCTGTCGTAGAAATCGCCTTTCAAGTTGGCACGAGCATTGCATTTGTCATTCTTGACACGATCTCCGAAGGATTGGACGTTGCTAGGGATATCTCTCCCCAAGGCCCCCGTGGCAAGCAAAGTAGTAGCAAGAGGAGTGAGGTATTTCACCCTCGCTGCTGGGAGAAATGTCTAGTGAGAATTGTCTTCCATTGCATGTGCCTGTAGGACAAGGTATTGTCCCAAGAGTCCTGCGGAAAGATGGGTTCCTGGGTCATGGTTCGGCGTTCGAATTTACTTTTCGACAAGGGCGGACTGTGTCGGATGGGCACAGCATTGTCGCAGCTGATACCTGACTGAGTCAATATTGACACCACCTCTCACTTCCTACACCCTGATGTATGATAGATCAGTATGCAAGTCTCCTTACCCCTCTGCCATAACGGCATGTCGGCGGCGGACAAACATGCCTGCCAAGCCTCTACTTCTCCCTATCGCATAGCCAATGCTAAGCAAGATGACAGTTTGCATAACTTCTTTCCTCCATTGAAACCGTCCCGCCGTCTCACCGGAAGGCCGCATCTCGACGCGTCTTTCCTTAGCATGCATAATCTGCTTCCTACAATGCGCCTCTCCACACGACTCTGCCAAGGTAGCCGGCGGTATGAACACCTTACAGCGTTTCGATCGGCCGAGAATCCTTCCATCGCCTCCAATTGCTTCCACATAGCCTTCGGATATGAATGTTTCAAGATTCACGTGCGTTTCGAATCCGTCTTTCTCCAAATTCTTCAAGAATTTCTCCTTGTCGGGCTGGAGCTCGTACGCTTTCCAGTACGTGACATCGGTAGCACCATTCCAGCTGATCCAAAAGTGTGTACTGGCACCCGGATACTGAGCATAAAGATAAACCTCGGGCTCTTCGGTCGGCCGGCCAGTCCAGCGATCTTTTCTCACCCGATAGTTACGCGTGGAAGGGTCGCCAAACGCCACGTCCAGCGCGATTTGGCCATCTTTCCCAAACTCGGTGAATCCAGAGTAGTCGGTCATCTGTCCCCAGCTGACGAGAAAATTGCCTTTATTCGGAAGGTACTGTAACGAGCCTGTGTTTTGAGCCAAGCCAGGAATTGGGGCAAAGGCCTCTCGCACCAAGCGAGCAGTCATAGCATGCTTATCAATCTCAACCATCATGGCAGAAGAGACTGTCTCAGTGCGAGTCTGGCCATTGAACCCATTGTTATACAGACTAATCACGACGTTACCATTTTCGGCCGACTCGCTTACGATACGTGCGTCGTGCTGGGCGGAGAAATCCACACCGTCCATGAGGAAAGAGCTTAGTGGACCACCGAGCCTCCACACGACAGTTCCATCCCTGCGGTCGAGACGATAGATAGTGTCAGTATGCCTAGCCGAGAGGAGATAGTCACCGTTCTCAAATCGGGCGACGGAGTTGATGTGACTAGAAATTTGACACTCAGTAAGACAAGACAGAGCAAAGGAGACTAACTTACAACCAGTCAAATGCGTGGTTATACGCTAGTCCAGCACCATTCTTGAGCGACGGCCATACCACCGACTCGTTGACCGATATGTGATCAGAGGCTTTCCATTCAAACGCTACCGCGCCGCTCTCTAGATCGATGCATAAGAAGACGGAATCCAGCAGCCATCCGAGAGTGTCTTTAATGCCCAAGTGTGAGAGATCGCCCTGATATGGTTGAAAGGCTACGGCGACGGCCATGTTCCCATCATCGAGAATATTGAACTCGTGAAAGTCCAATGCACTCCTCGATGATGGTATCTCGACGGTTCTGAAGAGGTTATACGAGGAATCCAGGAGGGCAGCGTGCCCCTGTCCACGTCCGCTGTCCGAATGTCCGCGGAAGACGCTCAGAACAGACGTTCCATTGCTGAGGTGATGAGGCTGCAAGTTAAAGTACTCAGTATTTGGAAGCGACGGGTTGTAGCCAGACCATACAAGGTCCTCGCAGACCAAGTTAGTATTCACATGGACTGCAATCGAGTTGCTGACTCACTCCGTTGGTAGCATAGATATATGGAGCACTCTGAGCTTCTCCCTCCCATGTTGTCAGGAAGATAGACCCGGATGAGACGATCGAATTGTCAATTTTTCGAATGTCGAGAACCGGTGCAAGGATATCGGGCCGCTAGAAAAGAACAGGCTGGTCAATCGCGTTCGACCTCGGTTTCGTTCTGCATCGTGAACGTACCGTGACGAACGACTGAACCAGAGAGACATGGGTGGTGCCACCACACACAATGGAAGCAAAGAAGAACAAAATTTTCCACATGTCTGCGGGAGAGTAGGCAGCGCAAACAAGTCAGCTGTGGACAACGGCATCGCACCAATGCTCGAAGTACTCATCCACTCGAACTCAATACCTGTCGAATCATACCTCGTTGGGAAAGTTCTTGCTACGGCCGTAGCTGAAACAGGGGTCTCTCGCAAATTCCCCGTCTTACTTGATCGCGACAAGGTTCTGCGTTCACACTGGCCTTGGACGGAATCTTGTTATAGAGCACTCGGAGGCCGGATGAGCGATGATGCGCCCAGGTGGTGTGCAAGTAGACAGGGATGATTCGAAGGACTTGCTCGCGTACAGTCTGCTTAGCTGTCTTGCCATCAAGACCTATCGCATGTTCTCGCCACGAATATCTTGTGAACGCTGACCGCGCTCCCTCTTACCAATTCCTAAGCTCACTCGCAGCCCGGCCTTCTTCGTCGATGGCAATGATTCCACTTCATCGAATAATGACTACCGGACGATGTTCTAGAGGTTACTAAAACCTGTCTAAAAATAAGGCTAGCTCTATTACTACTAGACCAGACGTAAATTGTTACTGTGCCAAAAACTAGGGCCAAATCGGAACACAAACAATTCAAATCTGAAACTCCGCACTAGGCATAATCTCGGCGCTTGGTCTATCAGACAGTACAAGGCTCGTGAGAATTCTTATTCCAATTTCTCTCCTCCAAAACTTCCTCTATAACAGCAAGAGCCGAGACTACCAACTTGAACAACTAGCTGGAACACGACAAACAAGAAATATGCAATCCAATCTTCTCAGCCTCGCTGTTCTCTTTCTTGCCACCATGGCAATGGCCGCCCCTATGGATAAAAACGCCATTATCGAGATAAGGGAGCCACTTTCGGTTGAGGCCAGAGCCGAGATTGATCCTCAGTATATCTATACTCAGTAGAAAGGTATGAGGTCCTCTAACGAGTGACAGTGAGTGGGACCTGACCAAATCTAGGTACCTAGTGGAGGAAGTATTTGGTGAGGGTCGACGGTCGGGAGAGCGCACGCTAGCTAGGCTCCATCTGCTATTCACTTCATATCGAAGCTTGGTGCCCGCACGGTTCTGTATCTACTTGATCCAGCGAGCCCTATTGCCGTTCGTATTCCCCTTGCCATCTAAGTTGCCTGTTCACCCCTCTTAGCTGCACATCAACTATCAAGCTCTGGAGTCGACATGGAATTGCTATGGCGCTCGCCGAAGCATTGTCAGAACCCACTTGGTTGCCATTAAAAGTGCCTAACAAGTTCCCATTGCTGTTTCCGTTGGCTGAGGGGCTTGCCGAAACTGTTTCCAGAGCACATGCGGTTGCCATTCGGATTCTCCAAAAGGTTTGCGTCTCCGTTTCCATTGCCCTGACGCTTGCCAAAGCTGTTTCCGGAGCCGATTGAGTTCATGGCCCATTGCCGTGCAAGTTTGCGCTGCCTGTTGCATGACTTGAGCAAGTTTACCAAAAACTGAGATCTGACGCTTCCTAAAGCTGTTTCCACAGCCTCCGTCGGCGGCATGTCTTGCGCGGCATCTGTGGCGTGATGTTTGGGTTCGTGCTTGTGGAGTGAGAGCAGCCTTCCTGGAGACAAGCGAGACTACACGAGGCCTTCTTTAACGGAATTCAAGATGCAAGTAGCGTGAGGTATGGGGAGAAGTCTTCAGATTGATGTGATATGTGCGGAAGAACTGTCGGCCCGGCCTGGCACGTGCAGATCGATCCAGTCGCCAATCGGAA